TATCAAGAGAAAATCCCTCCTCTAAATATATAGTTTTAGTTTTTGGTTTTTAGTTTTCATTTTTTTTAATTTGGTGCAATTAAACTATAACTCTAACCTATAAATCTCCATGAATTAAGATTCTGTTTATTATAGTTTTAGTTTTTGGTTTTTAATTTTTTTTTCATGTTTTTTAAGTACTACTATACTTGCAAATCAATTTTTTTTTTATAAAAATTACAATTTATTTAATTTAATCTAAATGTAGTATTATTTACTGAATATATAAAACCTAAAGCCAAACTCATACTAAACAGAATTTAAAGTAGTCACTTAATTTCAAAATGAGTTTACACTTAAAGTTGATTACATTCCAAAATAGAGAACTAGACTTAGACAGTTAGACTAGTCCTTGCCTTGATGGATCAATGGAAATCTTGACAAACCAAACCAAACCAAGATGTTACTGATAAAAAATCTTGCTGAAAGATCCAGCAGTGGATAAATTAAAGAGGGGACAATTGGGTGGAATCACTCACACCTACAACACTTGAGCAATTCCAAGCAGTTAAAAGAAGAATAGATTCAGAGACGAGGAAATTAATTATATAGGATATATTAACTAACGATTAATTCCGCATACCAGTTGGAGGACCTTTATTGGGACTTGGTAAGCATAAGTTCCACTAATTAAACTGTTTTATTTTCTTCTGCTTTTGCTCTGTCTTGGTAATTATTTGTAAAAATATAGTGCTTTCTTATCGCCAAAGCAAATTTGTGATCAACGTGAGTAGAGTAAGTCTTTAATTAAATAGAAGGAAGTTGGTACGTACATTCTCTTGTGCAATTTAAAATAAAAAATAAAAAATTATTAATTTTAGTAAAATAAAAGGATAGAAAAGGATTAAAAATATAATATAATTGAAGAATATTAATTATGATAATGTGACATTAACTTTAACAAAACACTAAAAAGAACTTTGTTACTAGTAAATAAGCATGCATGGGCTGTCATGTCTTCCGGGCGGGGGGTGGCAAAATTTAACTTCTAGTTTGTTTGAAAAATGTTATAGTTGATGCATGATAAGTCCCCTAGTACTCCCTAATTTGACTAAGATATTAACTTTGCTTTTCAAATAAATAAAAAAAAAAAACACATTGTTATTGTACACGCATCGACGATATATAAAAATTTATACACAAATACATATTTCTTAATCATTTTCCATATTATATTCTTCCTAAATCCCTTTTTTTTAGAAATATATTTTTCCTGTAAATCTTTTTCTTTTCTTTTCTCTTTTTACAAATATATCCTTCCTCGATTCTAAAGTTATGATTTATTGCCGAGAAAATATGGCCATCAATTCCTACGAAAGATTTGATGCGTCTGAGAGGTAAGCAATCAATGTTTTAAAAGCCCATTTACCAGTCGACTCGTTTTTAGTATCGTGTCTACTTCAATTAGCTAGTCAACTACGTCAATTGACTTTTTACTATTTGTTGAATATTTTACTTTGGGTTTTATAACCTGTGATCTGCCAAGTTAGGAACTTTAAAAAAATATATTTATTTAATTTATTAATTATTTAATTAAATTTATTCATATAATAATAACACTAAAATTAATATATACTTTTATATTTTTTTATACAAATTTAATGCAAAAAGATGCTCTTAATCTTATTCTAAAGGTGCAAGTTAGAAATTTTCTTTTACTTATATGTATTGATATTAATTTATTTTATCGATTTTAAAGGTTGATCCATTAGTAAGCGAGTGTTGTTTAATAAATTACGTTTAGAGTTCAAATCTTAAGTTTAGCATTTAAGGACTAACCCAGAAATACATGGATCATAACTTAATACCAAAAAATATATATTTTATTTTAATTAATTTTAAATTAATTAGTTTTATTTTTAAAATTAATTAGAATATATTTATACCTAACAATTAAAGTAACATTTATAGTATATTTGGGTTGAAGGGAGGGAAGATGAAAATTTTTAACTAATCAAATTATAACGATATTAAATCATGTAATATGATTGACAAAAAATCATCTCTCCTATTTATTCCTCTCTCCTATTTATTCCTTTCAACTAAAACATACTATTACCTTTAAATAGAATTTATTTTTAAATTTGATTACATTTTCAAATTTAAATAATTTCAAATTAATTTCATTATTTAAATTTACTAAAATAACATATATTTTTCTTTTATAATCCATTTAAATCATGGAAGTTACATTTATTACAAAATTATTTCTTTCTTTATTAATTTTATTTTCAAAGGTTTTGTTCTAATTTTAATTTTTTTTTAAATTTTATTAATTAAGGCTCCATTAGTATGGTTGTGGTTTTGGATTTTTTGTTTTGGTTTTTATAAATTTTGTAATTTTAAATAAAAAACTTGTTACCTTTCACATATTTTACAATATATTATTATGATTATTATAGAAATAAGAACAAAAACAATTTTAATACGATTAAACAAGTAAATACATTTAGTTATCAATGTTAAAATTTGTTTTAAACAAGTTTTAATTTTTTATTTTTACTTTCGGTTTTCAATAGACACAAAATTTATAAAAATCAAAATAAAAAACTTAAAACTACAATTATAGTAAATAGAGCTCAAGGCTCCATTTAATGTGGTTTTAGTTTTGGGTTTTTTAGTTTATTTTTTTATAGTTACAAATCAAATTAATTATTTTTTTATAAAAATACAATTTATTTGATTTAATCTAAATGTAGTATTAATTACTAAATATATAAACCTAGAAACCAAAACCATATATACTAAATGGAACAAAGTAGTCATTTAATTTCAAAATGATTTAATACTTATAATATGTTTGTACTGAGGAGAGGGGAGGGGAGGAGAAAAAAATTTCTTTATTTGGTTATCAAAAAAATTGGAGGGAAGCAGAAGGAAAAATTTTCTTTTATTTATTTTTTCTCTTAATTTAGTTTTTTATCCAAATAAAAGAAAGAGAGGGAAAGGGAATGGAGGGGAATGGAAGTATACAATTCCTCTCTCCCTTCTCCTCTGTTCCCCTTAAGCCAGATATAGGGTTAAAGTTGATTACATTCCGAAGAGAGAGAACTAGAATTAGACTAGTCATTCCCTTGATGGATTAATGGAAATCTTGACAAAACAAACCAAACCAAACTAAAATCTTGCTGATAAAAAATCTTGTTGAGATCCGGTGGCGGATAAATTGAAGAGGGGACAATTGGGTCGAATCACTCACACACAATACTTGAGTAATTCCAAACAGTCAAAAGATAGGAATTAATTATATAATATATATTAACTAACGATTAATCCCTGCCTTAATGGATTAATATTGGAAATATTGACAAACCAAATAAATCCTATCCTGTTTTACTCATAGGGACATGAGTGCTCTACAATAGAGAACTACAAAGATAGGTCTCATACAAGGATCGTGACCGGATTCTTGGAACCTAAATTGTGGGTTAAACCCACTGAAAGAACCTAGATCGATTCTCGGGGTTCTCTTCTCTATACGTACACTAAGGAAGGACGAAGGAGGGGCAAGGATGAAGAAGTGGAAAAAGGGAGAAGAAAAAGGAGATAGATGGAAGGGAGAACCATCAATGGACGTGCGATGGTGGTGGTAAGGCTAGTTTCCTCATGCGACCATAGCGACGAGGCTGGGTTCTTCAGACGATAGTGGTGGCAAGGTTGGGTTCCTCAAATGATGACGGTAGTGAGGCTAGTTTCCTTATAAGGTGTTGTAGCTCAAGGGAGAATCTGAATTTCACAGTATTCAGTTGGAGGAAAGAGAGAGGGAATAATTAAGAGGGAAAAAAAGATCAGGGTTAAAGAGGAAGGGTTAGGGGATAAGTTTGGTAGTTCAGTTTTATAATTTTTTAATATAAATGGGTGCTTAAAATTCCATGTCATATTTAATATTTTAAGAAAATTGCAACATGTCATCTTTTATCACTTGGATTTTCAATATTATTTACGTAAAACAAAAGAAAGAAAAGAGATGATTTGTCAATTAACCACATCATAACCATCTTAAAGGAGAGAGCAAAAAGGGGAAAAAATAATCTTGAGGGATCAAAACGAAATTTTCTCAGTTAAGGTATTAAGAAGGAGCTCCTTAGGGACGAAGGGGTAATGGGGTGTTTGGTTTGAAATTCCTAAACAGCTATTAATTTTATTTATATTTAAATAGTTAATTTAAATACTCATTTAACTTTTTAATTTTTTTTTCAATTCTAGGGTTTTAACATTTTTAGTCAAAGGTAATATTTTTGGATAATAAATTATTGCAATTATGAAACTCATTTTTCTAAATTTTGAATATAATTGCAGTACTCTTTTTTTTTTTTCTTATTACAGTTGCCTTCTTTTCGCTGTTTTTACTGTTTTCGATACCTCTACTGATCTTCGGTAAGCAACAACGTGCACAATGAACCTCTCTCTCTCTAAATTTTTTCCTTCATTTTTGTGCTATATATCTTGATTATTCTTCGTAGAAATAAAGCCAATGTAAGGTTTTTTTTTTTCCCTTTGTTTTTTTGGGGTTATTGCCAGTAATTCAAAAATATGAGCTGAAGTTGACGGATGAGTATGCCCATGAGGTTATACGTTTCATATGTGGGTCATTGTCAAAGTTAGAGGCGAACCAATTTTTGCGAAGTGGAGCAGTGGAAGCAACCTATCGGGCAATCGAGAATGACATCCCTGAGATTGTATTTGAATTATTAAAAGGACCTAACGCTAATATATTATGGAGCAATACAGATCCCGAAGATTCAAGAAACATGTTTGCACATGCTGTAGCACATCGTCAAGAGAAAGTCGCACGCTTTCTTTATGATGAATTTGGTGAAAGGAAGGATACAAATATGGTTACTGCCACCGATGAAGAGCAGAACAATATATTACATATAGCTGCACGATTAGCTTCTCATTCTCAACTAAATCACATCTCCGGTGCAGCTTTGCAGTTGCAAAGTGAACTACACTGGTTCAAGGTAATCTCATTTTTAACTTTGTTTGTTATCTCAAATTAATTGAGTCCCAATTACTATTTATAACTTATAAAACAAATGCAGTCAGTAGAAGGCATTGTTCCACAGTTCAACAAACAGAAAAATAAAGATGGTGAAACTCCTACCCAAGTATTTCTTAAAGAACACAAGAATTTGGTAAAAGAAGCCGAAGGATGGATGAAAAAAGTGGCAGAATCTTGTACAGTCGCAGGTGCTCTCGTTATCACCATTATGTTTGCTGCAGTTTTTACTGTTCCTGGTGGAAACGATCAAAGCACAGGCTTCCCTATATTTTTGAACACAACGATGAGGTCTAATCCAACAATGGATACTGTTGTACCGTTCAGGGTATTTGCAGTATCAGATGCAATTTCTCTTTTTGCTGCATCCAGTTCAGTGCTAATGTTTATGGGGATTCTTACTTCACGTTATGCTTGTCAAGATTTCCATATATCCTTACCCATTAAGTTGATTATTGGCCTTTCTTCGCTCTTCATCTCTATTGCAGCAATGATGGTAGCATTTTGTGCTACTCTTCTCTTGATGCTACATGATGCAATGGCGATAGTCATTTCAATAATATTTCTTGCTGCTATTCCAGTCACTTTGTTTATATTGCTGCAATCTCCTCTTCTTGTTGAGATTTATGGCTCAACTTTTCGCCCAGACATCTTTAATAGGAGAAGATACTGGAAATACGGAAAGAAGGTATACTCATCTTTCAATAGGAGATGGTGGTTCAAAATGAGGAGAGCATGGATGGTTATGATATTTTGTGCTCTTGTTTTACTTTATTTTATTTCATTGAATGAATTTTTAGTAAAATTATCCGAGTGATTAGTGGTTTAATTGATCAGATGACTGTATTATAAAGACAGAAATTTGTAATAAATTTAAATACCTCTCTTACTCTATTAATTAACAGAGAATGCATCCTTATTATTTTTAATATATAGTAAGAATCCAACAGTTCAGGTTTGAAATATTTATATAAGATTCTAAAACATTCTGTGACATGATTTATCTTGATATAGTTGTAGAGATTAGAACCATTAATTACTGATGGGGAGTGGTATGTGTAAGCTATATACTGGGACATACTGTTTTTAATCTGGTTATAAATTGTGGAGGACTAACCAACCAAGTAGGCTGGTAGCCGTTTTGAGAAGCAGACAAACTGGTACGGTTATTGCCACACTTAAAATTACGGCGTGACTCTTTTGCCCATGACTCTAGAAACGATATTTTTCTTTTTCTAAAACTACCTCTCTCAACTCAAACAGCGCAATCTCCTTTCCTTTTCCTTCCTTTTTTAAAGTCATGATCCTTTTTGTCTTAAAGATGAAATTGAAAAGAAGAGAGATCTAGTAACGTAAAGGCCAAATGGAATCCTAGTTCATTCCGTTTTTCATTTTTGCTTATTATTATTATTTTTTTAATTTTTTTAATCTTTGGTTCTCTTGGCAGAATCCCGTTCAAATCTTAATTGTTTTTGTACGTATTTGATTTTTGCTCTGTTTTTCATATTTGGAAGTGGAAAGTCTAGAACCAAACCATGGAAGCGTATGGCTAGGGAGCAGGAGGATTTGGTGAATGCAAGTGGAGGTATTATAGTGTGTAAGAGGCAGGGATTGATCCTTGAAGAGGAGATGCCAGATAAGAAAAGCAAAAGTGGGGGAGGGATGGGAAAGTTTGTAGATCCGGAGGTGGAAAATATTCCACTCGCTAGCTAGTTTTTAATTTATTATATATGTTTTCTATGTGAATGTAGAGTGGTTTCGGGAATGAAACGTTTCTTTTCTCTAAAGCGATGGCTATATGCATCCCTAGGATTAGGGTTTCTAGTTTTCTCTCTATTGAGAGTCGATGGCTTAGAGGCGTGAGCACATTGGGGCACCGGTGTTTGTTTCTGCCTTTGATATGTTCTTTGTTCTTTTCTTTTGGTCTTGACAGTCGTTGGGTTTGTGTGTTTGCTTAGGGTGTGTTTTGTTTTAGGGACCATGGAGGTCGGTCGGATAGGAACTGGATAGGAGGAAGTACTGGAGGACTCTATGGAGGTGATGTGGAGCAAGTAGCACCTCGAAGCAATTGAGGGTTTGGTGTTGAGGGGGTTGGACATGATGACGGGTGGAGCAAAGTGGCCGGCTACAGTTTTGGGATATGGTGGTGGGCCTTGCAGTCGAAAAAGGACTGATGATGGAGGGTAGACTGGGGGCTCGAGGCAGTGGATTGTTGCTGGTTGTGGCGGCAGCAAAATTCTTTTCCGAAATGTATATTTAGGGGGGAAGATGAGTGATTTTTGTGGATTTGATTTCCCATATTTCCGGGCAAAAAAACAAGAAGGTATTTTTAATTTTGATTTATTTCCTTTTTCGGAGGCTTTCGTGTTGTAACAGGGTTTTAACCCCAATCTTTTAGTTTTTCTTTGTTTTGTGTTTGGGGAATATGATAGTTTGAGGTTAGGGCTAACTCGAACTACTACTCATTTATTAGTTTTATAGAATCATGTAGTAATAGCCTTCATGGGATAAGGTGGGATTCGGAGGCAGTCACAAAGTGCTCCCTTATTCTCCTGCTGTACTCCTTAATTATCAATGATATTTGCTTTCTCATAAAAAAAAAAAAAATGCATAGTGGTTTCGAGGTTTTGTGATCTCCTTGAACTACTTATTTAGGTATTTAGATCAATAATAAAATAATAAATCTTAGCAGGCTTGAACAGGAATTGGTCACGGTTCTAAAATGCTTTGTTTTTCTTGATTAGATTTGTAACTCTTGATATTTACTAATGAAGACTAGTCTTCTTGTTTACCCCTAAAATAAGAAATCAATATAGAAAAATGCCACGTGTCAAATTGGAACCTAACCATTGGACAGATTTTTGCCATGTTAGCGGGCCTTGGAGCTGATCTGGAGTGGGCATATTGCAAAATTCGCAGCCCAAACAAAGGTGAGTGGCCGTTAGTGCCACATGGCAGGGGGTAAAGCATATCTTTTAAGTAGTTGTGTCTAATTCAAATTAGGAAGTGAAAAGTTTTTAGGAGAAGGTTATGTTAGGGTTTTATTAGAGTTAGATGGAGAGTCAAACATCTAGTCGCCAGACACAGGTAACTATCACTGGATGTGGAGCAACCACTCCCTAATTATGGAAGAAAGGGCCGAAAATCATGGAACAACTACTCTAGCATCAAAGAAAAGGAAAAAAATGGATAAAAGTCTGTCTTTAGGCCTATCCTCTAGAAAATCGCCCCGTGTACTGTAATTTTAGATTTCCAAATTGTTTGTTGTTGTCAGGTAGGGGTGGCAATTTGCTTCGATCTCATGGGGTCACGCGAGGATCCCCACTAGGGGACAAGGTATTCCTCCTTGTAGGGTGGAGATAGCTTCCCTTAAATTTTCATCGGGAATTTTTCCCGTCCCGTGAGGCCCCATGGGGATCCTTATCCCCGCAAAAAATTAAAAAAAATATGTAAATTAATTTTATTTAAATTTAATTCAATCTTCAAACCCAAACCTAATCTAATAAAAATTAAACTTAACCCAATTTTACTCAACCCAACCCATCATCAACAAGTTTGTTGATTTAGCTATCTATGTTGAATTGATCTTTATTTATGTTTGGATAATTTATATTTGATTTTATATTTAAAAAATTTTAGTTAATTGTACTTGAATTTTTAAAATTTTATTCATTATAATTGAATATTAATTAATTATATGTAAAAAAATTTGTATTTTGATAATAATTGACAAAGAATGAGGATCCCTGCGGGGATCGAGAATGAGGATGGGGGCAAAATCTACCTCCCGTCAAAAATCCCTGTGGGGATGGGAAGAGACTCCTTGGTCCCACTAGACCCTGTTGACATCCCTACAAGTTATCCTTCTAGACTTAAGTTGTTGTCTACAGGGGAGTTTAAGAAGCGTGAAGGATTGATCAAAGCGTTTTGCTTGGCTTGTGGGAATTTTTTGTTTCAAGTTTGTTTGTTATGAACTTCTGATGTCCTGAGTTTTGGGTCCACTAGTAGCTATCAGCATGTCTGTTTTGAACTCTTTCCTATACTAGGAGGGTTTCTTTTGTAGCTGTTCTAAGAATTGTGTTTTGAGTATGTTTGGAGAAAATGTGTGGTTAAGTTTGTCAATTGATTGTTGTGATTTTTGTTGTGTTAGGGTTGAGTACCCCTTGTATTCGTGTCAATAAATTTTTTTAGTGATAAAAAAAAATTAGATTTTCAAATTAAAGTTCAAAGACCAATTCTTGTTCATAACTTTAGTTTGAATCTTCTATTTATTTGAGATTTTCTTCAAAGATTGCATCTTCTTGTTGATATTTGATACTTTGGAAGTGAACAAGCCTTGTTCTTTGAGTCTGCTCCGTTAATTTAGTCAATAATTTTCAATGGATCCCACGCCTTTATGTGTTTACCTGATTGGGTTGAATGTTTGCTTCCTCCATGCCTTTGTTCATGTTGAAATTCATCATCCTGGGATTGTTTTCTTTTGTTTTTGAAGCATGAATTAGTTTGTAATTTTCCAGATTTTAGATTGGTTAGCAATTAGATTGTGTTGTAGTTTAATTTAGCATTAAATCTTCAAGTAGTTTATTTTATTTTAGGTTAATCTAGAAGTGCTCTTAATTTCTAGAATTAATTTGAAGTTAAATTTTTGAAATTCATTATGGTCTACATAGTCGCAGTAGTAGTCTGTAAATCCACCCAATCTCCAGTCTACAAATTTCCCTTATGTGCTTGTTGTTTTTGTGTTGTTTTTAGTTAAATTATTTAGGATATTGTGTTTAGTTTAAGATTGGTACCCTTTTAGACATCTTTATAGTTTTAAAGTTCTTGAAATTGTTTAAGGCAAGAAGTAACCCATTTTTGCCCTAACACCATCCTCCGTTATGCAACATCATTTGAGGTGCAAAACAATTCACAAATAGATGTCCTTTCCCACCATTTTACTCAAAGGTCGACCACTAGAAAGGTGGGGTTCATTGAAGAAATCCTATTGTTTTGTTTTTAGACAAAACGAGTAGCACGTCCTAAACTCAAACTCACATGACAAAGGCTAGCCAAGGATTTTTTAGGAAACACTTCCATTTTTAAAAAATATTGTACTCATTTTATGAATTTTTTGATATATATATATATATGGTTAGATTTTTATTTTTGTTGTTAAAATCATTACTATTTTACATTGTAGATTTGATAATTAAATATAAATGAAGGGTAAGGTTGAATAACTAGTATTAAGAAAACAACTGAAATGAGCAACAGGCCCTAAGTCACCCACGACTCTAAAGTCAATTGGTTAAGAAGTTAGAAGGTTGAGGCTTCTTTAGTTTTTGGGTTCAACGCCTGCAAATGCTAGGTTCTAAATATGATTAATATATACTTGTATGGTATATGTATTGTATCTTACATAAAAAAAAAAAATTACTTCCTCAATTCTTTTTTAGTAGATTTAATTAGTTTTTTCATTTAATAAAATAGATATATAATAATTTATTAATAAAATTTTATATTTATCTCTATTTAAGTGTCGCTTAAATAAGATTTTTTATTTAGTATATATTGTAATTATTTTTTAAAAATAAAAATAAAATAAGAATAAACACATTAAATAACATTCTAAAAAAAATTAAACAACTAAATTTAAATACTTCAAATAAAAAACTAAATCTATTAAAAATGAACAGAGAAAGTAATTCCTGCGGCCAATGATAGTACTTAATTTTCTGAATCATGAAGTGATGACTGCAAAATGTTCAAATATGCAAATTATCCCTCAGTATTTTTTAGTTGAAGCAAAGTAACACTAAATAAAAAAGTTAAAATAAATTTAAATAAATTGTGATCACACTAGAATGCAACCATAAAAGCATCAATTTTCCGTCTGAATTTTTTTTTGTTGAAAAACCATATATTGCATTTCTTAAATTATTTGTCACTGTAACTAATTTTACACATATTAAAAAATAGTTAAAAACTACTCTTTTATGAATAGCATTTTCCTTATTGCCCTTATTTATTAAATCAATATATTAAATTTACAAAAAAAAATTTTATAATTTAAATTATAATGAATTGTAAAATATTAATCCTTGAATTGAGAAATGATCTCCTAATATTGGGCCCTCCTCTCCCATCTAAAAGTTCTGATTTTATAATCTGATATAATTTAAATTGTAAAATAAAGAACCCTTAAATTTATATATTCATTGTTTACAATCTTATGAAAATGAAGTTTTTTTTTTTTTTTTCTCTCTCTCTCTCTCTTTTACCCATTAACGATTTAAATTTACTAGGTTGAATCAATAAAATTTATTGAAATTATTAAACTCCAACTCACTCACTTCCAATCACATGTACTCAAAAGGTTTCTTCTAAAGAGATAATGGAAATACTGTAGTTGCTTACAATCATAACATGTTACTAAATAATCAATAAAATTTATTGAAATGATTAAATTCCAGCTCACTTCCAACCACATGTATTTAAAAGGTTTCTTCTAAAGAGATAATGGAAATATTATAGTTACTTACAACCATAATATGTTATTAAATGAATATAATATAACATTAAATGAGTAAATAAATACAATATTATAAGTGTAGTTCTAAATAAAAAAAACCAATTGTATAAGGATACATCATATTGTAAGTCCCTAATAAAAAATAACTAAGTATATGATGATGCATCATTTTATAAGTTTACAATATCTTATTAATATTGTTTTTTTTTTAACAGCAAAAATAATATTTATTAATAAATGGAGTACAAGGGGTACCTCAACCCATAAATATCATAACTTGAGAGACATCATATTACATGAGTGGACTAGTCCTTCCGTATGGTGTCGACCTCTGAATTATGTGTCAACACCACGTCCGTGTCGGAGTTTTGGATGCTTACCATATGGTGTCGACCTCTGAATTGTGTGTCAACACTACGTCTGTGTCGGAGTTGTGGTTGCTTACCATATGGTATCGACCCCTGAATTATGTGTCAACACCACATCCGTGTTGGAGTTTTGAATGCTTACCATATGGTGTCGACACCAAAATTATGTGTCGATACTATACCTGTGACGGATTTCTATCCTCTTTTGCAGTTTCTACATATATCAATGTTCTGATCCTCAAAAACTTCCCACTTGTCAAACCCAAGTTGCTTTGTCCACCCACAAATTTAGGCGCCCCTGTTTACTCCCATAGTTCTACCTAGCAATTTGGTGGGGGGGGGGAGGGGGGGATGGGAGTGCCTTTAGCTGTATGTGGAACTTTACTTGGTACTTGCTATCCCGTTAAGTTTCCTTCTATTGCTGCAGTTGTTGGTCAGACAATCAGCTGGGTTATGGAGCCAATCTGTCAGGGAGAAAACACAGCCTCCCCTTCTACAATTAAGCCAACTAAATGTCCTAAGTTGCACCAGCTCTAGGAGCCTCCTTTTGTCTGCTTCCTTCCCTCTAAAGATCTTCTCATTTCTAGCAAGCCATATTGTCCAGACAATACCAAACCAAATGCATTCCCATCCCTCCTTCAATTTCACCCTTTTTAATAGATTTGAGTGCTGCTCAAACACTTTTAAGCGATCTTTATCAAGCACGGATATAATTCCCCACCAATTGAAACATTCATTCCAAAGATGCCAAGCAAATTTATAGTGAATAAGGAGGTGGCTATAGTCCTCTGTTTCCTTACCGCACATAACACATTTGCATTCTTCAAGAGCTTGAATAATACCTCTTTTGTGCAGATTAAGCTTTGTGGGGATTTTGTCCTGCAGTAGTTGCCATGAGAAAGCCGAGATTTTGTTAGGTATCAGCTTGTTCCATACATTTTGGAGTTCCATTCCATGCTGATCCGATCTACCCTCCATTGTGAGTGTTTGATATGCTGAGCCTGTCAAGTAGCCCCCATCTTTGCTGTGAGCCCATTCCCATAAGTCTGGTTTACCTTTTATTAAACTTGTATCTTGGATGTCCTTTTGTAATTCTTCTACTTGTTGAGTTTCCCAGCTGAAGAGGTTTCGTCTCCATTGAAGATTCCATTTCCAGTCGCCATTGACCCATTCTCCCATTTGAGGAATTTTGTTATCCTTCCCTGTAGATAAAGAGTAAAGTCTTGGATATTTGTTAGCGATATACCCTTTCCCTCTCCAGTTATCCCACCAGAAACTAATGCTAACCCCTTCACCTACTTTTAATTTAAAACCATCAGCAACCCATCCCTTTTTTTCCCCTTATATTTCATTTAATCTACAAATGTCCCTCCACCAGTTTGTCCCATTGTTGCTACCCTCTCTCAACCAATTATAGCTAGGTTCCCCCCCCCTTTCCCATATTTTTCAAAATGATTTTTTTTCCATAGCCCTCTTTCTTCCGACACTAGTCTCCCCACCATTTTCCTAAAAGAGCCATATTAAACTTCCTTAAGTCTTTTACTCCCAAACCGCCTTTCTTCTTATCCTAACACACCATTTCCCATTTAACCCAATTAATCTTCTTGCCCCCTTTAGTCCCACCCCATAAAAACCTTCTACGAATTTGATCAAGGAGTAGAATCGTACCTTTGGGTATCAAGTATACCGACATCCAGAAGACCGGGAGACCAAAGAGCACTGAGTTAATAAGAGTAATCCGACCTCCGAGAGATAAATGCCAACCCCTCCATTTGGATAATTTACTTTTGAAAACATCTACCAACGGTTTCCAGAATGCAATCTTCTTGCAGCTTTCCCCAATAGGGATGCCTAAGTATTTAAAAGGGAATAAGCCCTTTTTGCAGCTTATCACCCATGACATTTTTTCAATCCATTCTTCCTCCACACAAGTGCCAATTAAATGGCTTTTATTGAAATTGATCTTTAGTCCCAACGCCAATTCAAAAGATCTCAAAATTGCCTTCATTGCCTATACATTTTCCTCAGTTGCTGATCCGAATAGAATAGTATCGTCTACATACTGCAAATGTGAGACTTTGAAGCCTCCTAAGCCCACCTCTTCTCCTTGTAATAGATCTTTTAGGACTGCTGTCGATACCAGGCCATTTAACCCCGCTGCAATGATAAGAAATAAGAAATGGGATAAAGGATCTCCCTACCTTAAGCCTTGCGATACTGAGAATTGTCTTGTTGGACTTCCATTAACCAGGACTGAAACCAGACTTGTTCTTTAACACTCTCGTATCCAATTCCTCCACTTCACACAAAAGCCCATCCTCTGCATCATATACTCTAGGAAATCCCAACAGACCTTATCATAAGCCTTCTCAAAGTCGATCTTGAACAAGAAGGCCCTTTTCTTCTTTTTTCTAACTTCCTCGACCACCTCATTTGCGATCACTACTCCATCCATTAGTTGCCTTCCCCTTAAGAATGCCATCTTCTATTCTCCAATTATGCCATCAAGAACCTTTTTGAGGCGGTTGGCTAATATCTTTGCAAGAATTTTGTACATAACTCCAATGAGGGATATGGGTCTATACTCCTCAATCTTTTGGGGATTATCAACCTTTGGCACGAGGACAATGAATGAGTTATTTATCCCCTTCACCAACTTGCTGTTTTCTTGGAATTCTTGGAGGAATTCAACCACATCTTCCTTGATAACCTCCCACCGGTCTTTTACAAACTTGAAGTTAAATCTGTCTGGGCCTAGTGCTTTTGAGCTGTCACAATGTCATATAGCTTCTTTAATCTCCCCTTTAGAAAAAGGAGCAATTAATGTTTCATTGTCATCCTGAGAGATTTGCTTGAAAATTGCCCTTTCAAGTCTTGGTCTTTCTTGCTTTTCTTCCTTGTACAAATGTTCAGAAAAAGAAGAAATCTCCTCTTTCATTTTACTCGCTTCCACAATCTGGGCTCCATTTACTTGTACACTGTTCATTTCATTCCTTCTCCATCTACCTTTAACACAATTATGAAAAAACCTTGTGTTGGCATCACCCATCATCAACCATGTTTTCCTTGATTTTTGTTGCAGCATGCTTTCTCTGTACCTAATGTTATCCCGTAGGACTATGAAGGCTTCCCTTCTTCTTTTGATTTCCTCCTCTAAGAGTTGTTCCGCTTCTCCTTTGAAATCCATTTGGGCGATTTCTGCAGTGGCGTTGTTTATTTTGTGGTCAATTTCAAGAATAAATTTCTCGCTCCAACTTCTTAGGGCCTCCTTGGTCAGCTTCAGCTTCTCTTTTATTTGGTATCATACCCAGCCTTGAATATCTGCCTTACCCCATGTTTCCTTAATCAACTCTCTGCAACCTTCTTGCTATCCATGTATCAAAGAATTTGAACGGTTTAGGCCCCCAGTCAACTTCTTGTTGTTTGAGCATAATTTGGCAATGGTTCGATATTGTTCTATTTAGTCCCCACTGCTTGGCATCACCCCATTTAGTCAACCATCCTTCCGATAGTACGAACCTGTCAATTTTGCTCATGTAATGTCCACTAGCTTGTACCCATGTGAATTTTCTCCCAACTAGCAGTAAATCAACCAATTCCGTGTCTTGAATGAAGCTATCAAACTCCCTCATCTTAGTTGTTATTTCTCTGCTCCCTACTCTTTCCCCCACTTTTCTTACAGTATTGAAATCTCCCATAATACACCAATTACCACCTCTCCCTACTACTAGAGTTTTTAGCTCCTCCCAAAAAATTCTTTTTTCTGCTAGTTGACATAGGGACTAGACATTTATGATACTAACTGGAATTTTTCCATCATCCCAAACCCTTTCAATGCCTATAAAGTTCTTTCCTTCCAAGACTCTACCCATATTGATTTTTTTAGAATTCCATATTCATAGCATTCCTCAGACAAACCCTCTGCATCCCTGGCAACCCATTCTAAATCATCTGATCCCCATATCATTCTACGAGTTCTTATATCTACCCCTCCCATCTTAGTTTCTTGTACTGCTAGAAAATCCACTTTTTACTTATTTATTAATTCCTTCAAATGCCTTTTCTTCTCGACACCCCCCAGCCCTCTAATATTATAAGACATAAAATTCATGAGGCATCAACACTAACCTTCTTATTCTTGCTCCCTCTCTTGGAGTGTTCCACTTCCTTTTCTTTTTGTCTCTTTTCTCCATCTCCTTCAAGTCCCAAATTACTCATACATTATCCTCTACAACCACCCTAATACCTTTTGCAAAATTCCATAAATCTACTGTTGTTTTTCTGCTTTGTTCCTCCTTCAAAATTCGATTGCAATTCTCGATTCCACTATCCCCAACGGAGCTTCCCGCCGCTAAGTCACAACTGTTTGCAAGCATTCTGGAAATCCCCCTCTTTCTGCTTTGCTCACCTTGGATCTCCCTCTACCCTTCTCGTTCCAGATCATCACCCCTCGACAGTTGTGATCTAAGATATACCGAGCTACATGACTTTGCCCTCTTTTTTTTTTTTTTTTTTTTGTTGGCTGGTACCTGTGTTTTGCACCTCCCCTCCATCTCGCTGCTGTCTTCGCTCCCTTTCTCTGCTCTCAACAAGCTGCTGTGAGTTCTTCAGTCCTCTTCCAGATCTTTCTTATTTTTTATGATCCCTTTTCCTTTTACATTTTTGTTTTATGAAACGAGCCACCTCTGTTCTCTTGTCCCCATTTGGTTGCAGGCCCATTGCTTCTGTTTCATACCCTCTACATCATTTTGTTTATGGCCCATATTGGTTTTTGTGGTTACACCTTGCTCGGCCCATACCTCATCACCCGCTACATGAATGGCGTTTGAGCTAGTTTGGTTCTCGGTTCTAGCACCCATTTCCCTTCCTATCATGTCTACTCTGTCCTCAACATCATTCATTGTTCCATTGTCAATGCTGTCAGCTACTTCTTCTGCATTTTCCTCTTCTCTCAGTTGGCATTGGTAGCTTCTATCAACTTTTTCAAATTGTCCCGCTTCAACACTTCTTTCTTGTAATTCAAATTCCACCTCGTGTGTTGAACTGGTGGCATGCCTTCTGTCATTTGTATTGTGCCCCACTGTGTCACCAATGGCTTCTTCTTCTTCCCCGGCCCTCTCCCTGTTGGTTCCATATTCCTCATCTTGCCATTCATCATCATAATCACTAGCGTCCGACCAGTATTCTTCATGATCTGATTCACTTTTGAAGCTGGGTTTGAAATCATATCTCAAAGAAAACAAGTTGTTAGTCATTTCTTCTTCAGTGAACTTGAGAAAGTACCCCTCGCCATTCACTTTAATCTGCCGTTTAACTAAGATAAACTCCATTATCGGGGTGGATATGAGGAATCTCGCTATATCGAATCTCCTTTTTTGACTTGTACTATTATCCAAACATATGAATTTGCCCCACGAAGTTGCCATTGACTCAAAGAAAATAGGACCCCAAGCTTGCAGAGGGGATCCTTGACTTCTAATCCAAACGAATCGTTCCTTTGCCACCATAAGAGGTGACCAAGGCTTAACTTCAAAGAACCATTGTCCTAGCCAATCTGCAGCTCCCTGCACTAAATCCTTTAATTCTTCTTTGTCCTCACAATCCATGAGGACCATCTCCCCCCCAATCACCCCTAGACGGCATGAGAAATACCCCTCCATATAAAACTTCTCTTGGAGGTTGGGTACCATCTCAACTGAATGAGCAATACCAACATAGCAACCTTGTAGCCACTCATAATCTTCTTGCTTCACATTATACTCCAATCCTCGCCAGTCAACCCCTCTGTTTTTCACTTTCCATATCTGTCTTTGCTCCGTTTTGCTATTTTTGAGAATGCTTCTATTTTTTTTGGGCTCCATCTCTGGACTTGTCTTCTTTAATTGAGTCCTTGTTTTACTGTATTTAATTCCCTCCAGGCCTTTAACAGCATCAGCATAAGATTTCCCTTTGACTACAATAGACGGGGCTGAGTCTATTCTTATCTTCTTGGTTACAATCTTCTCCTCTGGGTATTTGGCGATGTTAACCCAAATTTTCCACCCCTCAACCCAGATTTGGTCCAGTTTTTCTTCCAGATCCCTCACATTTTTAATCTCTAGATACCTGACAAAACTGAACCTCCTTCTAGATTGACTTTTCCTTTGTGGACTATAGATTGATATCACCCTGCCATATTTGCCAAAAGTTGTCCACATCTCATTGTAGCTCCAATCTTTTGGAATATTTGTGAAGAAGAAGGATGTAGCCTGTTTGAACAGTCCTTTGTTGTATCCCCAATCATGGTTGAACTTCTGGCTTCTGCTAAAGCTCATGTACCCTGCATTCAATGTCTTCCTTTGTCAGCTTCTCCCTCGTGATCTTGTGTACTCTCTGCCCAATGCTGCTCATCCCGATCCTGCATGGTGTCTGTAGCTTGAATCCCTTTTTCTCTCTCTACCTCTCTCTCTCATATCTTGTGTACACAAGGGTAGAGTTACAAACTTGAATTTGACCGGCCAAAAGTTGGTTGGTTCAATATCTTATAGTATTGTAACTGTAACATTTCAAATAGATAATATATTAATAAATGAGAACTTTACATTAGTTTTAATCAATACAGAAAATAATAATAAATAAGGGTCAAATTAAAAAAGTGATACTTAATTTAGTTATAGTTACAAATAATTTGAGATAAATAGAGTAATATTTTTTCCTTTTTTGAGGTTTAATGTACCAACTTCAAAGAAGACAGAGAGTAAACATGGGAATTTAATTACTACCATATGTGAATAATGATTTTGTTTATCTGATTTTCTTTTTTTGCATACATATATTTTACGTAAGTAAATTAATATTTTTGTCATCTATGATATGTAGAACGATACTTTATGTTATGTTCATTGATATTACTGTTAAGAAATAATATCCACATTATGGTGTTGTAGATATTAATTAGATCATTTCCTCAAATTTTTTTTAGCAGCAAAATAAATTATTATTATGTTTTGAGTACAAGGGGTCCCTGCCCAGTCTTACATTATTCTACTTTCTCAACAACACATATCGCCTTCCCGACCTGACGCGCAAAATGTTTAAATAGCTATACAAGACTATTTTTGGTTTGCCCACTTCTCTTGCAACATTCTACAGATATTCTGATTAATGCAACTTACCGACGCAATCATTTTCACATATTGTGATTACGTACGAACTATTATTTTACTTGTTGAATTTAGAATTTCATGTTACAATTTCTATAATACTTATCTTGCTACATCCCAACTAGTCTTGTTGCATCACTGCATTCACAAGGATGTGCTAACATGTTTGGCAATACCCCCAGAGGTCTGATATTGGCGATGTTTAAAATCTCTTTGCACCTCACCAGGCACAAAAAGCTCATCAGACGGGTCAAGAACACCATTAGTGATTCAACGAAAGAATATTGATGATGATGATTATGATGATGTGGGTGATGATCAGTAGGTACTTTATGCTAATCAAGATGTCAAACTTATTTTTGCATTTTGTACAGTTTTGAACAAGGTACTTAGATTTCAATTGAACTCATTATTTTATCAATGCCTATATTAATTAATTCGCTACAGCATTTTTGTCATTTAGTTACAGACAAAAATTGTATATATATGATAAAAATATGTAAGTACATTCCATTTGAGACCTATATCTATGGACAAAAAAGTGTAAGTACATGTCCTGTAACTATAGATAATTAACCACACTTGTGACCATATTCCTATAGTGTTATATGTCATAAGCAAAAGATTAATGACCCTCTACTTACATTTAAAAAATAATAAATAAAATAAAATACCTACGACATACACTCGTAGGTAAAGAATAACGGCAACTACTAATAATGGTTGCCATATTAGCTTTTAATAACCATATTTATCATTGTTAAAATTATTTTATAATAACACTATTAGTCATTACCTAAAATACAACTTTACAACCAAAATATTTTACACCAAATATTTGAACCAATTGAAACATGCTTGAATTCGCATATTGACATGTATATTAATAGGTTTTTTTATATATAAAAAAAAAAGTTGGTATATCCTCCAACTCAACACACCCCATAACACTTATTAGTTTAATTATTAAATATTATCACTTATAGTTTTCTTACCTTTAATTCTAATTTGAAAATAATAATATCTTAATAAATGTGTTGTGAAGCATGTTAAATAAGAATGTATACTAATTATTATCCAAGTTTTTTATTAGGTGTTTGTACAAGGATTAGAAAAATAAGTGGTACATTTTTCAGTTCAACACACAACTTTCAATATTTATCCAATTTAACTATTAAAATATAATACAAGTACAACCAATTTAGTCAGTTCTTATATACTATATGCATAACTAAATATTTAAGTTTGATTTTCTTTAATTTTAAATAAAAAAATAATTTTTTAATGAATATATTGTATAATGTGTTAAATCAAAAAATATATCAATTTTATCTCAAGGTTTTATATGTAAATGAATATTAGTGTTTTATTTCTTCCACATAAAATATGTTTAAGTTTGTAAAAAGGATTAATATACTGGTATTTATGTTTACATGTTCTTTTTTTCATAAACTTTGCTTCCAATGCATAACTTTATAAAGAAAAATAGCACATGACATCCAAGGCATGACGATCAGAGTCTTTCATGAAGGCATAAACAAACTCTTTTTTCCCGGTAATGCATAATAAGATTTGGCATACAATTAATTCGTCCCATAATAACAGAAAAACTGTAACAGTTTGATTATAGTAGTTCACTTAACAACAGCATCAGTTCAACATAACTAAACAGTCTGATTCTGATATTTAACCAGTTCTTAAATTTCACAGCGAAACAAAGCTTAAAGTCCAGGGCACAGTCTCTTATAATTACATAGGTTGTAGCAGAAATTTAGTACAAAAACACTAATTTAATCGAACTGTTAGTTTCACATAGAACTCATTTTAGTTGCAATTTGAAAAACATTATCAGAGTTACAAACGTATTAGTTACTTAACCAAATTTGGGTAGATTCCTGCTGTCCTACCAAGCTGCAGCCTGCTAGGGGTGGGCAAAGTTCGGGGGCCCGATTTTTGGCGGGTTTTAAACCAAATATTTGGGTTCAGGTTTTTAAAACTCGGTTCAACCGAAAAACCGAGCCCATTCCATCGGGCTACGCTACAGAGGCCCAATACCAAAAACCGTTAAGGTTCTCCATTTAATAATTTTTATTTTATAATTTTATTTGAAACTTATATAATCCATAATAACAATTTTAAATTGGTTTAATACCTAATTTGGTCCATAAACTTTTATTTTTTAACTTAATTCATCCTTTTACTTAAGAAAGCACTCAAATCATCTTTAAACTTTATTTTTTTTCGTAACTCAAATGGTCCTTCAGCCATGAAAATGCATACCCATCATATTAAAATTTCTACTAATTACCTCTTTTAAATTTTACAAATTTACTTGGAAAAACATCACACCCAATTAATAGCATGGCAATAATTTCACTCCATGTCACATTTTGCCTCTCCAACCTCCTAAGTAAACCAGTCATCAATTTGATTTTGCCATGTCTCACTACGTTTTGACTCAGTGGCTTCAACTCGAACCCAGCCACGCCCAGGCGGACCCTCCACTTCCCAAACACCTTGCATCTTTCAACACGCTCCCTACCCTCACAAGCAACCGAGTTCGCGATTTTGAGACTCACCACTTCCACCTTCGCTCGCTTCGGGCGATCCTTGGGCACGGTCGAGTTGATAGATTCGAGCAGCGCTGCGTAGTATGTGGTTGCTTCTCGTACCCGCGTCAAGAACGACGCAGTGTTGGTGTTCATTTCTTGCTCCACCAATGGGACTATCTGCGGTGCCAGTCCCTTCACGCGCCGGAAAAGCTTGTCTTTGGGATTATGAGTCGACATGCTCTCGTCAGACATTTGGTACAACTTGAATGCGAAATTCACGGTGAGTGTCTCATCCGGTTCGTAGCCGAGCAATCCACGAGATAGATTGCGGAGTTTTGGACTCGCCACGATGTTGAACTTCAAAGGAACACAGTACTTCTCTCCAAATCGACTCAACATCTCACCAACAGGCCTCAACGTCCCCTCCCCAACATTATCTGCGACGCCGGTGATTTTCACCATTGTCGGCTTCCCGCTCTGACTCAGTCTGTAAACGAGATGCTGGTACTACGCTCTATCACCGATAGCAAAATCGATTACATGAAATTTGTTAAGAGTTAAGCTGAAATTGTTGCCATGTCATCAAATGAGCGTGCTGTTTTTTCCCCGTAAGTTTGTGAAAATTAAAAGAGATAATTGATGGAGACTTAACGGTGCTAGCTATGCACTTCCGTCAACGGCAGGACTATTTGGATTATGTAAAAATAAAGTATAAAAATGATTTGGGTGTTTTATGAGATTAAAGGATGAATTAAGTTTAGAAATGAAAGTTTAAGGATCAAATTGTGTATTAAACCTTTTAAATTCAGCCCGCCTCATTTAGGCCAAAATTAAATTTTAACCTCTTCCAGTCCATTCTAACTTTGACTTTTCATTTGTATACATATATATATATATTTTAACAAAATATTATAATTATAATATCATATCATGTTATTAGTTTATTATATTAGAAGTTATTATACATCAATTTTAATTTTAACTCTTAAAAATAATTAAAATTTTAA